GAGGGGAATAACAGTGAAATCACTAACATGATTCCATCAGCCTTACATTTGGGAGGAATAAAAATAACCTTGTTTCAGTGAAGCGTGGAATTTAATTGGCTCCCAATCTTTTCCCCCTCATGCATCTGGTGGCCAGTACTACAGTAGAAAATTTTAAACTGGAAGGAGACATAATCCAATTAAATTTCCTTTTAAAAATGTCAAAGCAAATAAATCCAGAGCCCATGAGCTCACACACAGCTTTGCTATTCTCACTAGGCAGCTGCTGTTCACTGGGTTCCCAGCCAGTGTGCCATCTTTGCTTCAGTGTTGTATGATTTTACAGATCAGCAGCTACATTTTTTTTCACCGTTGATGAACAAGTAATTTATTGCCAACTTCTTTGACATGGTCCATAGCTTTAGTCAAAGCCAGCGTGGAAGATGCCGTGGGGCCCCCTTGCAGACAATGATTCCCAGCCATTTTGGAGTCATGACTGTGCATCATTGTTGAATTCTGCTCTGCATCTCATAGTCCTTCCTCCTTCCAGAAAATCTTCCTTTGGAGGAAATTGAATTTAGTTTTGTGCTTGGGGCGCCATCTCTTGAGTTACCTGAAGTCACATTGGAGACTCTGGATCCACCCACCAGTTTGTCAGGAAGTTGCTGTGTTCTGAGCTGTGCTGTGACTTTCCTAGACATTTTGTTAATTCTGGTAGACACAGAATCACACGGTGTCTTTGTTTGACTTCCTCAAGAAGCTGATGTGGAGATAAGGATTCGAGTATATATAGGCTGTGAGGAGGATGGAAGGAAGACTGTTAAGGGAGCAGGGAATGAAGATTAGAAGGGAAGGAGCTACCACAGGGCTTAGCCTCAAACCAGTAACACATTTTGGTGACTGGAGCTTAATGCCTCTGGGAAACTCAGGGATCCAGTGACCTACATGGACTCAGCGTTTTCCCTCCCAAAGCGCAAGGGGGGGTGCACTATTCATCCATCAGCTCCTGTCAGTCATGGGTAAGACCTGCTCCTGACGAGGGGGGAAAAGAATGAGTTCCCGGGGAACTTGTGGCATGTCACAGGGGCAGCCAAAGTGGGCCTCAGAGGCCAAAGAAAAGCTTTCAGGCAGAGGAACACGAGTGCTGAAAGTCGGACCAGTGAGGGCCAAAGTGGAAAGAGTGAGAAGCTCAGTGCCTGCTGTGCACAGATATTTAAGATGGCATATATTCACAGTCAGGAGGCTATTTTACAGAAACTCCAGCAGCTCATCCTCATCCGGAAGGGGAAGGATCGGCAGCTATGGAGGGCTCTCCTGTTGTAGAATTACCACAGTTATTTCCACTCCCAATGTACGTGTGCTGCAGAGAATACAATCTGACCTGCACTTTTCTTCTCGTTTTGTGGTGTAGCATGAATAAAAGGTCAGTGAACACAAAGAATATTTTTATTCACTGCCCAGATTGTCATAAATAATATGTAATGCAGAATATTTGTGGATTTATTAGAACAGTTAAGCAGTGGGAGTGTGGGGTTTCTCGTGTCGCCAAAGGCCTCTTTATTTAGTGGGGAGTTTGCCCATGTGACTTCTTTAGATGGACCCAATTATAGGCAAGACTATGAAGAAGATACTTTTCCCCTCTACTTTATCATTGCCTCCCCTCTGCTGAGTTGCTTAAATCCTATCTTCTGTTTTCCCACCCTCTTTTGGATCTCAATTTAATTTCTGTTCATCCATTTAAACTAGTACCCGTGAAAATATCCCTAAAATTGGGGGTTGGCTACAATTATGGTTCCAATTCTGATATGTGGGTTTTTTTTTTCCACATACCAAACAATTCTTGACACCAGCTAAGGGTCCTACAATTCCAACTCAGTTCTAACTTGATCCATTCAGAGACAACATCAGATCCCACAGGGTATAAGGGCTCAGTCCCACAGGACTGCCCCTTCCCCCTGCCCCCTTCAGACACCAGTTTATCACCTGTGCTTCTGGTCCACTGGCTGTAGATGAGAGGTTTCTATGACCCTTCTCTGGGTTCAATGAATTTGCCACAGCAGCTCACAGAACTCAGAGAAATATTTTACTTCCTATATCACTGGTTTATTATAAAAAGATGGAACTCAAAACAGCCCGGGTGGTAGAGGTGCATAGGGAGAGGTAGGGGGAATGAGTGGGGAGTTTCCAACCTCTGTGCACATGCCACATTCCCGGAATCTCCACATGTTCCTGCCAACCCAGAAGCTATCCAGTTCTTCTCCCTTTGGGTTTTTATGGAGGCTTATTACAAAGGCACGATTGATTAAATCATTGACCATTGGTGATTGAATTCAACCTCTAGCTCTATCCCTGGAGGTCAGGGGGATGAGACTGAAAGTTCCAGCCCTCCACTTACAAAGTCTGTTACCCTAGCAACCAGCCCCCATCCCTTGGTACTTTTCAAAAATGTCTCATTAACATCACATAAGGCACCTTATCCCTCTCATCACCTTGAAAATTTCAAGGGTTTTAGGAGCTCTGTGCCAGAAACAGGGACGAAGACCAAATATATATATCTTATTAAGAATCACAATAGCGTATTGGCAGTATATGGGTTCCGGGTTCCTCAACCCCTGCAAACATGCCTGTGGCATTTATCAGGTATTGGGGCAGAAGAAGTCCCTCCCACATGGATCCTAGAGATTAGTGACAAAGGGAAGTCAAATCCAGGGAAGTGGTATTGATTCTAGAGAGAGAGCATAATGGGACTGGAACATCAAGAAAGCATTGTATGAGCCATGGGATTTAAAGTGATCAAGATGTAAAGAAATGGACTGTTGTGGTCTTTTCATCTCAGATCATCCTTCATCTCAAACCTCAAGATATTTACTTGTGTTTCATTTTGTCCAAGTCTGGCTTATTGCTAACAAATTTAATTCTCCTCTCCAAAGTCTTGAGTTGCCTTTATTCCAATGTGGGTCCCTCAGTTTCTTTCTCTTTTATTGTTAGACGTCAAATCATGATTCCTTCCTCAAAAACATGACACTTTTGCTGCCTAATGAAGAAGCTCTGAGGGAAGGACCTTCTAGAATTGGCCTGTTTCATAAAAGAATCCATTCCCCCGATAATTTCTTTGCAATGATATGAGTTGCATAAAGTATTTTATTCTTTTTTGTATTGAAAATTCTTATTTAAAAAAAAAAACCTATCCAGGAAGAGTGATTTTGAATGCATATATTTATATTATATTCTTCTATAACACGATCAAATCTAAAAATACCATTTAAGAGCAAAAATTGCGCTAAGTTTTGTAATGAAATTTCTGAGGACATGTTGAATAGTTGAATGACTGTTAATTAAAATATATAATTCTGTGTATATAATTTTATATATATAAAATATATAAAAATATGATATTTAATAAAATATATAATATATATAATTTTATATATAAAATATATAATTTCTTGGTGTAAGAAGGACATTTCACTAAGTTCCATGTGGTATCAATACACCGTAGGCCTTGATGTAGGCTTCATCCATCTGGATGGCCATTTCTTTCTTTACACAGCCAGTTGGTGATTTGGGCTCAACTTCCAATGTCTGGCAGGAGACATTCTTTTTTCTTTTCCTTCCTTCCTTCCTTCCTTCCTTCCTTCCTTTCTTTCTTTTTTTTTTTTTTTCCTGAGAGAGCACATGTACGTTTGTGCACGTGGGGTGAGGGTGGGGGCAGAGGGAGAGGAAGAGAGAATCCTAAGCCGGCTCCATGCCAAGTGCAGAGCCTCACACACATCTCAGTCTCACAACCTTGAGATCATGACCTGAGCAGAAACCAAGAGTCGGCCGCTTAACGGACTGAGCCACCCAGGCGCCCCAGGAGGCATTCTTGAGAAAGAAAAGGTGTGTCACTTCAAAAACAACGTTGTTCTCTACTCAGCTTTTCTAGAGGAAAATGGTAGGATCAAATGTAGCTTCTAGATTGGCCCAGGCTGCCAGGCTTTGGAAGGCAGCTCAGCAGATGAGCTGAACTCTGGATCCTCATGGCTGGGGGGGTTACAGTCCAGGCTCCCCTGCTTACTGAAAGTTTCCTGGATAAGCAACTTAACACTCCTATGCCTCAGTTTCCTTTTCCGTAAATATGTATCATAATAAAACCTGCCTCTTAGGGTTTTTCTGTGATAAAAACTTGAAAAAGTACCTTTACATAGTACATAGCTAATAAATTTATTAGTAATAGTAGTATTACTAATCAGTGTAGCTAGCGGTTCAGATTTTAATAACTGAGGTCTTAATAAAGCATTGTGTGAGTTAACACTGAAATAATGCTGCGTAACAACCCACCCCCCAAATTTCAGTGGTTCTCAACAACGGACATGTATTTTTCTCATCCATGGACCTGTAAGTCGGCTGGCCTTGGTGCACCATGCTCTTTTTTTTTTATTATTATTATTTTTTTATTTGACACAGAGAGAGGCAGCCAGAGACAGAATACAAGCTGGGTAGTGGGAGAGAGAGAAGCAGGCTTCCCGCTGAGGAGGCAGCCCGATGCGGGGGTTCGATCCCAGGACCCTGGGATCATGACCTGAGCCAAAGGCAGAGGCTCAACGACTGAGCCACCCAGGCTCCCCCACCCATGTCCTTTTGAGAGGCAGTAGCATGTTGGGCCACGTTCTTCTCATGGCAGTGACAGAGGGACAATAGGTTAGGCCAAACCATCCAAGCATGTTAGAGCCCCTGTTCGGGGTACATCTGCTAGCATTATGTAGGCCCAAGCCAGTCATGTGGCCAAGCCCATATCACAGGGACAGGAGAACAGACTCCACAGGAGGGTCTGCACAGTCGCATGGCAAAAAGCAGGGGTGTACAATTCCACCACACGGAGGGATGAAGACGTGAGCGTAAGAATTCAGTCTATGTCTGCCTTGAGAATAAGCAGCATATCAGGGGCTTAGATAACAATAAGAAACCATTCGATGTTGCGTGTACAAGACCTCACTTTGACATGTGACTATAATTATATCCGTCTTTGGTTCTTTTCCTAGAGATGTGAAGATGAGTGGCTCGGGATGCCGTCACCTATCCCCGCGAAATACATTAACTACGTACGCCTTTTAAAGGATGTGTTCGGCTTAGAGGAGGAGTAGCCGTATGCCAATTTTAGGCAACTCCCTTTGATTTCCTGCTCTCATTTCACTAAGTTTATTTCAGTAGATATAATTTCATTTAAAAAAAAAAAAAAAAACAAGGTTCATATTGAATTGAAATCCATAGGCCACAGTTAATTCCCTTTTGTCATTTTAGTTTTTCAGAACATCGTGTTACTCTACTGATGTGCCAGCGTTATTAAAAATGCCATTTAAAGAAACGTCAAACATTTTTATTACATGTCTGATTTATTAATACCAAAGAATCTGACGGTAATTTTCTATCTAACATAATTTGATTCATTGCAACACAAAAAGAAAATTACTTTTGACAGCTATACACGACAATATAAAATCAAATTATATCTGAGCAATAAGTTGTGATTCTATTAAACATTTTTTGAAATCTTTTTGACACATGTTTATTACTTATATAATTAAATTTTGTAGCAACCCACCTTATCAAAATAATCCTTAGACCTCTCTAGAGTGAATGTATTTATTTTCTGAAATTAGCAAAGCTATGAGAAGGACTCCTGCCCTTGCCCCACAACACACACACACACACACACACATACACTCACACAGTCACACACACACACGCACACTTAGTTTGGGAGAGAAATTGAAACATATGCAGGGTTTAGTTTTTTTTTTTAAAGATTTTATTTATTTATTTGACAGAGAGATCACAAGCAGGCAGAGAGGCAGGCAGAGAGAGAGGAGGAAGCAGGCTCCCCGCTGAGCAGAGAGCCTGACGCAGGGGTCGATCCCAGGACTCTGAGATCATGACCTGAGCCGAAGGCAGCGGCCTAACCCACTGAGCCACCCAGGTGCCCCGGGTTTAGATTTTTAATGCCCATTTTATATCTAAAGTTAGCTGTTATCTTAGGAATATATGCATGTATAATAATTATAGTATGACCAAAAAATGTTTTATGTCTCAAATATGTAGGAATGTGAATGCTGAAGATTTTGAGAGATCTTTTTTGGTTCGTTCTCCACACACACACATACCACCCACCCCAGGGGTTTAAATATTCTAGGACTGTAGCATGTTTCCCTCCTGCCTTTCTCTGGTTCTATTTTGATGTTTCTTCTAGGCCTATACGTTCTGAGTCTCAGCAGAACTTTTGTCATGTAGTGTATATTTGGTGAAAACTCCTCACCATTGACCTCTGGGAATTCACTGTGAGAAGTGTGTCCCAATCTACCCCAGTCTCCAGTGGGGGATGCTGTGTACCCTAACTCTGGGTGCCTGGTGTTCTCAGACACAAGAAGAAGCCTATGGGAAAGGGGGGCTTCCACAGCTACCTTTTGGGGATGGCTTAGAGGAGGGGAAAAGGAACTAATGACATGTCAGGGGCCCCTGCCACTTCATTACTCCTACATTCCACATTTGTGGCATCTTGCCTAGAAATTAGCTGGCTTCTTGGCACTCAGAGGTACCAATTTGGTCAACAACAATGGCTCTTTCTTTTCTTTTTTTTTCTTTTCTCTTTTTTTAATCGAAGCTAATCAATAAACTATTTCTATATATAAACGTAGGTTCATTCTCCATGTGCCTCAGTTAGAATACACCCCAAAGGACTTTCCAATAAACTGGAATACTCAACTTACATGCTAGAATCATTTACCCATAAAATCTAATTTTGACTCCTTGATTTTTATTCCAGGTTTGTTTTGTTGGGTTTTTTTTTGTTTTGTTTTGTCTTTTTCAAGACAACTGACAGTGCCAAGCCATTTTGTCACTTTAAGATTTTTCATTCCCCAGAGAGCAAGCTTTTAGAAGGATGAACTTTCCCTGGAACTTTTCAGGCTGACACATTTGTCACATACCTATTCAACTCTTCAGTCAGTTGTCTTTCCCTCAAGATTTTAAATACGTAGATAATTTAGCCCTAGTACAGACTTGTGATACAGTTCACTTGAGAAGTGGGAAGAGAAGAGGAGAAGCAGCAAACCAATGATACGTTCCTGGGTTTGTGGGATGACAACGGCTGTTCTGTTACATAGATGTGTGTCGCTGCCCTTTTTGCAGTTCAAGCCCACAATTAGCAATTAAATGGCCATTATAGGAATCATGCCGATAAACATGATACATTGCAGCCATACAGACACTTTAAATAATTATTCTTTTAAAATCTAAACCATATACTGAAGGAGATTTATAATTTAGAGATAATATCCCCATTAGTAAAGTTTATGACCCAATAAACAGCTCCCACTAGTTAATAAATGCCAAAGCCATAAAAACAAAGACTATTAATGTAATAGAATTTCTGTGCCTCCCTCTTTTGCTGGTGGTCTCAAGGCACTGAGGGGAAATGCTATCTTAGGGAAAACATTTATTCTTGTTATGTAAATATCAATGAATTGTCTTACAGTCCATCTGGAAATCTCCCAGCCCTGCCTCGGTCCCAGGTGGTCCCCAAATGCTGATGTGTTTCACTTAGGTTTCGGGCCTTAGATAACTCTGGTTTTCAGCACAAATGAACCTTGTGGCTCAAATAAGGGAGGTGGTAAAGACCGGCTGGAATTTCTGCCTCTTCGCTTCCCTCTGAAAAAGAGAAATCCCAACTCTTACCGTCATTCTGGATGAAGAACTTTGTAAAGTTTCCCAGTTTGAGCATACACTTAAATTTTTAGCTGCCTCTTCTGTTTCCTCTGAAAAAGAGAAATCCCAACTATTGTCATTGTTCCAGGGTAATCATTTTAAAAGCAGTTTCACAACCGTTGCATCTACTTATATTTTTAGCTGCTCACATTTTCTCATTTTGGTGGAAAAGCAAGGGCTGCCTGTGGAAGTCTGGGTGAGTTGAAGGTTAATATAGGCAAACCCTTTGTGCTAAGAACGAACAGTTTTTTCATATTCCTGCAACCGTGGGAATGATTGATGAAGTCATTTGAAAGCCCAGATCACATCATGTCTTTTCAGAAGAAACTGATTGAAAGCTGTTGAGGTTGACATGAAATGGTTTGCTGAGTCATTGCTGTCAAGTATGGATGTTGTCAGCAGATGACTACTACATTGGCAGTGTTTATTTGCCTCATTCTCCCTTTTTAAAAAGATTTGCTTATTTGAGAGAGAGCGAGCAAGCGTGAGCATGAGCCGTGGGGGGGAGCAGACAGCCTGATGCGGGACTTGATCCTAGGACCTGATCTGAGCCAAAAGCAAATGCCTAATGGACCGAGCCACCCAGGTGCCCCAGGAGTGCTGTAACTTTGAAGCATTAGGATAGTTTAGACATTTTGTCTACTTTATGTATTGCCTCTGATTCAATTAATGACAAACATACCATTCTTGGTCTTTTTTTAATGCTATACTATTTGAAGTTTGTTTTGTGTGTGTGGGGGGAGGTGAGGGGTAGATCTTCTGGACAGTTTTTGGACCCCTCAGTGGTGAGTTTGAGATATTTAAATTGTCCTTCCTTTCAAAGAGCAGGGAATTATTGATGAACAAAATGAAATTTCTAAAAAAAAACCAAAAAAACAAAAAACCTTTTCTTCCCTTTCCAACTTGGATTTACTTATCTCAATTTGAATGAGGACAGTTTTAGTCTTTGCCACTCGTTCCTCATTTCTCCGTCCCCTTCTCCCATATGTTACGATTTTGCTCTAAGCGAGGCAGAGGGACCCTTCAGAAATAGCTTGATGAAATGGCTGAGTTTTCCACAAAATATTTATGATGCTCAATAATACAGAATCCATTGAATAATTAATTGTCATGTTCCCAGTTATATGTATATTCTTTTTTGTTAAGAATATACTCTGAAAAACAACCTGAGGGTTTTGAAGGGGCGGGAGGGGTGGGAGGTTGGGGGAACCAGGTGGTGGGTATTAGAGAGGGCACGGATTGCATGGAGCACTGGGTGTGGTGCAAAAACAATGAATACTGTTATGCTGAAAAGAAATAAAAAATTTTTAAAAAAAGGAAAAAAAATATAGTGTCCTGAATTTTGAATATCCTTCAGAATCAGTCTGCAAATGACCTTCCAAACAAACAGCTTCCAGATGATATTAAACATTACTTAAGTGCTGGGTCTCTGTCCTATTATGTGTTTGGGGAAAGTTTGAATTGCCTCAAGTCGAAGGCAGGTTAAGACCTTTTCAAAAATGAGGCTTTTCAAGTTGACCGAGCATCTGAAGAGACACAGTGCTTTCCAGTTCCCAAGAGAACATAATGTGTAAAAATGGAAAACCCACCGAGAGGCAAGATCAATGAAGCTATTTCACAAAACAAACCTGTGGTGATAATGAAGCAAACATCATGATTACAGAGGTAGCGCTGACTGGATAATTAGCTGCAGAGAAATCGGAAGTCGCCCCCACTCGTCTTCTTCTACCAGGTTATGCAAAATAAACCTTTGCGTTCAAGGTCAATTAAGTTCCTCACAATTGTGGAGTTCTGAGACCAGAGTGTGCATCTTCTTTGCATTTGTTCCTGGTGCCCAGTGAAATTCCGTCCAAGGGGACTTCCGAGCCCATTATGTGTCTGGTGTGGGGGCACAGGACCTCAGGGGTCAGCGCTGCTGCTCAGAAGCAAGTGGTAAGGGCTGAAAAATGTGGCCAATGAAAAACTCCACGGTGGCTCAGCAAGGAGAGAATTAATGACTGGCTGGAATCAGTAGGAGCCTTTACTTCTAAATACTCATTAGTTTAAGCAGTGAGGCCTGATGTTATGCAAGTTAGACAGGAAAAAGGGGACCGCCCCTCCCCATTGTCTATTCTGAACAGAATATGCACATTTAACTCAAAGTGGTGAATGGTTCAAATACATCAAACCGACTATTCATCAATCTCCCAGCTTCCTGGGCTCCGCTTCGCATCTGTGTAAAGCCAACAATAGAGGAAACGCTTGTTATGACCCCACAATAATATTAAAATCCAGAGGGGCGGGTAGCTTGTGAAAAACACAAAATGCAACCTCCTTTAGAAAAGTTCCACCAAAATCATCTTTGTTTCCTTTTCGTACTCTGTCTGTACAAGAACATCTGACTGCAGTAGGAACTTGGTAAAATTACTTTTGCCTGCTTTTTTTTCTTTTTCTTTTTTTTCCCCCTCACTTGCTAGCACTGCTGTTCATTATTGCTGTGAGGCCTCTCAGTGAATACAGAATAGGAGCTGAAAAGCCATTTCAGACTGCTGCCTATATCGGCCTCCCCACCACCCCCCACCAAGCCCCGGTCCCGTTTTTCACTGTGACTGGAGCATGGAGAGTG